GTGTGTGTGTGTGTGTGTGTGTGTGTGTGTGTGTGTGTGAACAGATTCTTGCTTCATGAGTGAATGTTTGGTCAGTCTCACCTTGTGTGTGTTCGGTTTGATGCATCGTATAAAATATGGGTTGGAGGTGCTGAGCGTGGCCATCAGAGAGTGTAGAGAGTTCTGAAAAATACAAGTAAAACAAACTGAAACAAGTGGAGACGTTGATTAAAGTTACAGGTCGTAAAGGTAAAGTAAAACCACTGTTCTAAAAAATGTTAGGAAGTTGTGTCAAATATAAAAACAGAAATCATTGATTTCCAAATCTCATCTAATGGAACAAAGTAAACACATCAAAGGCTTGAACTCAGAAAATGCACAAAGATTTGGACAAAATGAGGTCATTTTAAATTCGATGGCAACATCACAACTAAAGAAGATGGGAAAGGAGGAGAAACTCTGTAAGAATTGGGAATAATAATAATAATAATAATAATAATAATAATAATAATAATAATAATAATAATAATAATAATAATAATAATAATAAAATAGGGAAACAGCTTGAAGAGCAACAGAGTCCATGCTCAATAATCCAGGTATACAATCCAACAATTTTCAGTCAGGTCACCTGGACAGTTTTTTTTTTTTGAAGAGCATTTTACCACAGATTAGATTAATTATCAACAGGACTGGCCCTCAGGGGCCGCTGCACTTAAAACAGGCCTAGTTCTGTTCTGGGCTCAGGAACACGTCCACAGATCATCGTCTGTAAACACCGTTCATCCACTGATGAAGTTTAAAGCTCTATCAGGCAAAGAAGAAGCCAGATGTGAACACCATCCAGAACCGCTGCCGTCTTCTCTGGACCAGAGCTCGTTTCAAACGGACTGAGGTGAAGTCCAGAACCGTTCCGAGGTCAGACAGATTAAACTGTGGATGCTAATCAAACTGTTACTGAAGCACCGTTACAAAGCCTGCCTCTCTGATGGTATGGAGGTGCATTAATGCTTCAGGCATGGGCTGCGTGCACATCTGGAAAGGCTCCTTTAATGCAGAAAAGGTTGCACAGGTTTAAGAACAACATCTGTTCATATCCAGCAACAACTCCAGCAAAGAAGAACCGTTCAGACCAGAACGAGACAACACGTGGTCTCCTCAGGTCCTGGACCGTTACAGACTGACGTTAAACAGAGGACACCTCACAGGTTGGACCTGGAACAACTTCATCAAATTCAAAATGACCTTATTTTATTCAGAAATTGTACAATTTCTCAGTTTAAATATTAGATGTTTGTTTTGTTCCAGTGCTGGCCGTCTCTGAATCATGTTCACCTCGGCACGACCACAAAAACAATTATTATCTCTGTGTTTTCATCCTTTGTTCATCTGACATCTCTAATCTTTTACAACCTGAGTAAAACACAAACCTTCAAACAATAAACCACTACTGGCTAAGAAATCAATTTAAATATAATAATCAGAAAAAAACACACAAGAAGTTCAAATATTAATAAATAAAACAAAAAAATCTGAAGTATGTTCAAGTTCCTGCAGGACATCGATAATAACGAAGGTGAATAACTACAAACAGTGGCAGGTAAATAATGCATTTCACTCTAAAAGATAAAAATGCTCTGATGTATAAAGTTATTGTTGTAGGCAGGAGCTTGTTTGTTTGTTTATTTGTTTGTATAATACACGTAACACAGTACAACACTTCCTGTCAGACGTTTTTACTGCAACCAGAAGTGCTTCAGTTTCCACGCAGCGTTACATGCACAGACGGGCTGACAGTAAACTTTTGTTTATTTGTTTGTTTGTTTATTGCTTGCCTTAAACTGGGAGCTGACAGTGGGCCGTCGGTGCTTGCAGCTGCTCTTCAGCGTGTCCTGTTTGTTGCGACTCAACACGTGTTCAAACAGGTCGTAGACGAAGTCCAACCTGAGCCAGAGAAGAGAATGAAGAACAGAAGATGAGTCGGGGGAGGAGAGTCCAGGTCGGAGGCCTCAGGATTCAGCTCTGCTCTTTGCAGATGACGTGGTCCTGCTGGCGTCATCGTGCCGTGATCTTCAGCTCTCACTGGAGCGGTTCTCAGACAAGTGTGAAGCAGCTGGGAGGAGGACCAGCACCTCCAGATCTGAGGCCGTGGTCCTCAGTTGGAGAAGCGTGGATTGTTCTCTTCAGGTCCAGGGTGAGGTTCTGCCTCAAGTGGAGGAGTTCAAGTATCTCAGGGTTTTGATCACGAGTGAGAGAAGAATGGAGCGTGAGATCAACAGATGGACTGGTGCAGCGTCTGCAGTATTGTGGACTCTGTTCTGGTCTGTTGTGGTGAAGAGGGAGCTGAGCTGTAAAAAGCTCTCTGTTTACTGGTCAGTCTACGTTCCTCCCCTCACCTCTGGTCATGAACTCTGGTAAAGAATGAGATCGTGGATCCAGGAGGTTGAAGTGAGTTTCCTCTGCAGAGCTGGACTCTCCCTCAGAGACAGGGGGAGAAGTTCAGTTATCAGGAGAGACTCAGAGGAGAACCACTGCTCCTCCACACCGAGAGGAGCCAGTTGAGGTGGTTCAGGCATCTCGTAAGGATGCTCCCTGGGCGCCTCCCTAGGGAGGTGCTTCGGGCATGTCCGACTGGGAGGAGACCCCGGGGAAGACCCAGGACACACTGGAGAGACTACGTCTCCCAGTTGGACTGGGAACACCTTGGGGTCCTCCCAGAAGAGCTGGAAAGAGATTTCTGGACCTCCCTGATCCAGCTGCTGCCCCTGTGACCCACTTCAGAACAAGAGGAAGAGGAAGAGAGAGAGGGAGGGACGAAGTGGATGAATGGATGGAGTGATGGATGGAGGAAGTTTTTAAAGTTAAGTTGTAAAATAAAAATAAAAACTTCCCAGATGACAAGAACATAAACAGAGTTCAGTTCTTTTAAATATTTTAACCGACCTGCTTTCTCTCAGCATGTTGAGGATGTCGTCTCTGAAGGTGTCTCTGTTCTTCTCCAGCATCCCCCGGACATCGTACACCACCTTCAGCCGGCCACAGGGGGGCGGGACAGGTTCACACAGGCACAGGAAACCAGATCAAACTCCACAAGTTGTTGTATCTTCAAACAACCATCTTTAAAAACCAACAAACAACAATAAAGACGACGTGACGTCAGACGTGACGGTCTTACCTCTCCTGCGTAGTGTCGCACTCCAAAGAAGTGCACGGCAACACGAGGTTTCACATAAAAGGGATTTTTCTGAGGAAACCAACAAAAAGCACAAAAAACAAGACCATGAGGAATTTACATCTTCAGAATAAACTTAAAAACATTCAAACTCAAACATGTTTTTCAGGAGAAGATAAACCCGGCTTCATATTTGCCATCCTGCAGGAAGGTTCAGCTTGAATGAGTTTTTACAGCAAACCTAAAGATACGTGGTGACCACACAACCATCACGCCCCTCCACGCTGTCGACACGTACCGAATGCTGGTTGTGAAGCTTCTCCAGCAAGGTGTCGTCTGTGGCTTTAGGGAAGTGACTCTCCTCGTTCATCAGCGCCAGAAGACCCAGTTTCTGTCGTGAAAACACAAATATCAAGTTAGAGAACGACACAAACGTCTTCACTGGTGTCTGAGGAAGTAGAAAAACCTCAAGCACCTTCTCTATCAGGTCCAGACACTCTCCGTTATCCATCCAGTTGATGTCGACCCAAACCAGACCCTCTCTGCAGAAAACAGCAGATAAAAGAATCGGAAGCGTGAAGCAGCTCCTGAACTCAACCCACAGCGAGTCCACCTACTTGTTGTATTCAAGCTGCTCCAGGGAGAAAATGTGTTTGTTGAAATATTCCTGAAGTTTCTCGTTTGCATAGTTGATGTTGAACTGCTCAAAGCGATTGACCTGCGGCAAGAACGGTTAGACAGATATTAAAAACCCGAGGCTTACGCTCTAGTTTATACATCTACAATCAAACCACGAATACTTAGAAGACAGAAGGAATCCCAGTCAGACTTTAAAACTACTTCTGGGTGACTTGAACTTGTAAACACCTCGAAGTTCTCAAATCCAAAAATGTCCAGGACGCAGATGGACTTGAAGTCCTCCCTGCCTCGGATGCGGGCGTTCAGTTTGTGGATGATCCAGTTGAAACACCGAGAGTAAAGTGCCATGGCCATGGAGTCTCTGGAGTCCACCGCCTGGTAGAGCAACAAGAACAAATTGTTGTTAACGAGCAGCCGAAAGTCTCAGGAACAATTTACAGTGAAACGGGACGCTTTTCTGAAACAAGCGCAAACTGCTCGTTTCTTGTCTTGTCGTAAAATAACATTTGATTACACCCAGACTGAGAGATTATCAATTATTTAGGTTATTATCGCAGTTTGAATATTTCTGAGTTTTCGTCTTTGGGGCTTTGTGCCTCAGACACACCGACAGAAAACGGGTCGATTAACCGCGAAGAACAAAATAAGTTGTAAAAACCAGAAACCTCCAGTTTTTGTGCTTCCTGATGAACAGGAAACACTTTTCATGAACCAACTTCTAACCTGAAGATAAGTGTAGAAAGTCAGGAAGCTTAAAAACACTGGGGCTCTGAGTTTTGTCCCATTTACCCTGAACACAACACAAACTCCCTCCATGATAAAGTTACACTAAATGTTAAACAGACAGATGAATCACTTGCTGCTTTAATCTTCTTTAAATCTTTCAGTAATGAAACATTCATTCATAAAAGACGAAGAAGAAGGAACGAACAGACGTGTTCGCAGAGCGACGTGGTTGTGAACGGACCTGTTCAACAGTGAGTGGTGTGGAGATCTCCTCCCCCCTGAGGATCATTGAGCGGTGGGTCAGAACTTCTGCCAGCTGATCCGAGTTCAGACCCAAGAGTTCAGAGGTCCAGCTGAGAGCTGCGGACGAAGGAACAGTCAAAACGTGTTCAAACTGGATTTTATCTGGAAAATTACAAGTAAGAGTAAACAAAAAAATGTTTGTGATAAATGTCTGCAGCACAGATAATCTCAGTCTGCAGCTCAGATAATCTCAGACTGCAGCACAGATAATCTCAGACTGCAGCACAG